AGAGAACAACAAGTCTAGAGGAGTGATAAAATTTGATAATCGAAACCATAAAAAATGTCAAAGGATCTCTAAGGCAGGTCTCAAAGTGAAACAAAGATTATTAATCTCTGAAACATTTACACAGTAATATATAATTACCTTAAACAGGCGAAACAGTAACATTCTACAAGACTGCACTCTAATTTATGCTCTTTAGTTAGACATCTTACTCGGCTGTGGTAAATTTACATAATGGTGGAGATGGTCGATTTCACCATTTTGTTGCACTGTCCCAATTCCAAATACATATCTCTAGTTTTCTGTTATTTAACATCATATAAGCAATTTACCATAAATTTCATTTGTTCTTCCCTGAAAGTACGTTCTTATTTTAACAAGACGACAGTTTGATCATAGCCAGATCTGAAGAATCCTGAATTCAAAAAATATTTAAAAGTATAAACAAATTTAATGCTAAGAACAATTTCTCTCACTGCTGCTGGCATACTCACTTCTGTCATGCTTACGAAGAAAACAGCTCAGATGATACAATCCATGTTAGGAATCCATTGTATACCTAGAGGAACTGCTCTCTGCCAGTCCTGTGCTGTGGTTTACTATTCTTTGGTCGCTAGTGAGAGATTGGTGGATCTGTTATGAAAGCTCACTCGATGGAAACGCCCACTTCTATGACTCATCTTGGAATTTCTTGCCTTTTTTTTTTTTTTTTTTTTTCTCATTCATGTCAGCCTTTGGTTGAAAGCCACAACTAGGGAAATTTAGCTGTCTCATCCCTCTCTTGCATAGCAGTGGAAAATATTTGGTCTGTGACGTAATGATCACAGTTATCTTTCAAATATTTGAGATGGGAATTAAAAATCCACTAAAAAAAGAAATAAACCTCTAGTTATCTTCAAACTATTTAAAAATTAAATCACAGTGTCTTAAAAAAATCTCCTCTTCATACTTGTCTAAGATCTTGTGAAGAAAGCCCTAGAAGTCCAAAGGTTCTGTCTGTACCAACTGTAGTCTTTTCTACCACTATATCACAGATCTTCCACAAAAAAAGATATAATATGTAGACATTGTAACTTCTGGAAAAGTAAGGATTTTTCCCCATTTTCTTTAAACACCCAGCACACAGAGCCAATTCTGAAAAGGCAACTTTTGTTAACCAGTTTAGACAACCCGGTTTAGCATCAACTACCATGTTGACAGAAAATAAGGCAGGCAGTCTGCGGCGCCCATCTCCACAACCCTGTACGCTTTGTACAAAGAGCTCCTAGGAAACAAGTCGGCTTGCACTGAAGCCTCTCCACCCTTAGCCTGTCGCTCCATCTGTGCAAATTAACTGTTCCACTGCATCCACAGACATGAGATGTTATAGGATTTGTTCCGAAATGCACAAACTTATGATTCTCAAACAATGAGGGTCATCTCATTGTTGGGTCAGAAGCACCAAAACAAACGAAAAATCCAACAACAAAAAACAATAACATTGCAGCACAGGACCTAGTTTTCCCACTGACCATTGAGAGAGGGCACCTAGGAAGGAAGAAGTGTTGTGTTGCTCCTAAGCCAGCAAACATAATGGAAAGAACTGACCAAGATAAAGCAGCAGCAGCAGCAACTACCACCACTTTAACACAGCACCCTTCTTCACACCTCCAGACTAGAAACCAGACTTGTAATACCATCATTCAGCTACAAATACAGCACTATGGTCTCTCCCTCATTTCTTCACAGCCCTGACCAGTCCCTGAACCCTACTGCAATCCCTGGAAGTACCTACAGCCCCACACTTATCACTATAGATTTACTATATGTGTTTACAGACTATGATCCAGACCCTTGACCCTGAGCGAGCCAGCTCTCAACAGTGACAACAGGCACAGCTAAGGAATCTAATTACTACTTGTCCTCAAATTGCAGTTGTGGTTTGCCCAGGATCACTACACTACAGATAGCATCTCTTTTCAGTCAGTCAGCATTTTGATCTAACAAGCCTGTCGATGCCAGCCATCCAGACGTAATCAGTACCACCACTCTGAAAAGGCTCAGATGCCCAGTTCTTGGAAAGCTGAGGTCTCTGCTCAGTACCACTCTATGTCTGAAATCAATATTTGTTCTCAGTTTATTTCTGACTTCCAGTTAAGTACCTCTACTTGCTGTCATTACCTCTCCACCTACAGTGAGGCAAAGCATTCAGTATATTATCCCTTCTTAGTGGACCACATGGTTCTCCTCCAAATAAAGGAGTTGTCTATTATGGAGGCATCTCAGGGAAATTAGTTTTCTGTATTTTCAAAGCATTTAAGCTCGGTGGCTTCAATTCACCACCTATCTCAACTGTACAACTGTTTCCTTCGCAACAGTCAACCTAAAGAAACTGCTGATTAAAAACTGTAAGTAGGAACTTCTGAAGTTCCTTTAAAAGAAGCTTCATGCTGCCAGGAAATAAAGAACGAGTGAAATACTGACCAGATGCTATCTTGCTACCTCAAATACAAGAA